TGTGGTTCTCAAAACACCATCCTCAGAACAGTGCCTTGAGGGGAGACAGAGGAATTTGTCCTCAAGCCACACTTGTGCATGCTGAGGTTTGAGAAGGTATGATCTTTGGACTAGAGGGACACTCAGACTCTCATCATATTCCTCTCTTTTGCTCCCAAACACACAGTCCTAGAAACAACATAGGATTTGGTTTGCCCTGTTTCGATAGCCACTTACCTCCAGGAAGTTTTGCAATATGAGCATGTCAGGCTTCATATTGTCCATCACGAGAGCTTGCAACATGTCATCTAAGGCCTGGACAGTCTGACAAATGAGGAGACATGGGTATGCACAGGAAGAAGGAAGGCCATCAAGCTCACCTTTGCACCCCAGGGACGTTCTCACACCCAGTTACTCTCCCATCTTTCTTGGCCCCACTGAAGACAAGACCAGGCCCAGCCTACATGGTAGGCCAAATAGTGAAATGTAGGCAGTGGGCAGGCCTCCCCAACAGACAGCCCCCATAGGATTCTTACCATTAGAGACCCCTTCTGTTCCATTGAGTTACTTCTGTTTTTAAAACCAGAAATCCTTGGGAAGATTTGGCAGTCTACCGGCCAGTTATGAGCTATAGAATCCTGGGTTTTATTATCAGACTGTCTCCTCCTAAGACGGAGGATGTCATGTGAGCTCTTGTGAGAGAGAACATGGCTAGCATGGGATCCCAGGCCACTCCCTGGGAAGAACTGAGGATAAGACAGGCAGCCCTTGAGCTGAACAGCATTAGCACCATGCCGCCATGAGCTCTATGTCAGGAAGACCAGGGAGCTAAGAGTACAGGAGGTGACCACAAAGACAGCACCCCTCATGGACATCTCCAGCAGGAGGCCATGGTGGGGATTACCTGGAGGTAGAGACTAGCACTCTCCCTTCGGTCTAAGCTGGGCATGATGAGTGGCAAAGGGAACACCCTGGAGATGCAAGCATTGGCCAGGTCCAGCTTCTGGGATAAGTAGAATGACGGATTCAGCTGGCTGGTGGGAGAGGAGGGGAAAGACAAGGTCACGATCCTGTCAGAGGCTGGGTCACGTCTGCAGGACCCTCTGGGGAAACCTACTCTGCGGCTCTCTCTGAGGTACAGGAAAAGAGTGGAATACTTTTCAATGATCCCCTTATCAGGAAAGAAGGGTCCTGGTTGTTGGGGACATCCCTAGACTGTCCTCATATAGTAAAATCAAAGAACAGTCCCACCATCCCCCAAGGCCAGCCAAAGTGGTAACTGTGGGGCCCTGCCACCCACGGCCCCAATATCAATTTCCCAAGACTTGTCCTTCTTCCCAATCCAAACGTTCTCAACATCAGAGCCCTCGGGGCCATGCCAGAGTGACAGCAGGGGAGGAACCTCAAGGCCACAGTGCAGAGCATTGCTTTCTGACGCACGAAGTTGTCCAGGGTCTCTAGGGGTTCTTCCAGGATCAATGACTAGAAGGGCCAGGAAGAAACAAGCATTCCCCTCAGAGAGAGGTACCAGTTGGTGGGCCTGTCCTGTCATCTGCCACCCTGGACAACCAAATCCCAGAAGAGGTAGGGTCCTTCTTACCTCAATTTTCCTGGCCAGGATGTTTTTGGGAAAGTAGTTGTTCATATTGCTCTCTGCCTGGACATGCACAGCACCACTCAAAGTCTCCACAGCACCGAGGAAATTCAGTTTGTCGAACAAGGACTAGGACAGAATATAGAGACTCCCACCAATAAACCAGTCACCTGCAGCCCTCGGCCCATGCTCTGCCCTCACACCCAGCCTAGACTCATATCTAGTAAGCCAAAGGATAGAGTGCACCCCTGACTTCCTCAGCACCGTGTCCCACAGCCTGCACAGGTGCTCACCAATGTCCTGTCTCCTCTGTTTCTCTCTGGGGACAGTGGAGCTAGGGGTCTATAAGAAAGATCCATCCTACAGGATGGGAGCTCAAGGCCAGAGCCCCAGCACCCATGTCTAATGGCCTGGCCATCAAGATTACCCCAGACCAAGAGGCACCGAGGACTGGATTTCAGGAGGCTTCCAAGTCAGGACTAGTCCACAAAACCCAAGGAAGCACGAGTCCTCATTTTTTCCTTCTCTTGACCTCAATTCTCAAAAATTTCCAGAGAATTCCTTACCATATTCTCCTGTCCTAGACATTCCTGTATCAACTGATAGGCTTCTTTTTCTGATTCACGCAACCCTGAAAAAGGATGTAGTCGAGAGGAGGTTAGCTGATTGTGTCAGGAGGGCTAGGAAGGCAGAGCCATCCTCCCCGAGTCCTTTACCAAGAAGGCTCAGAAACCACCAAGCTGGCATGGGTCCCCGTCCCAGAGCCTGCTTCTCAGGTATGGGCAGGCACAGCTCCACTCATGTGACCCTCAGAAGCCAAGATGAAAGGCACCCAGATGGGGGTTCAAGAGATTTTTTGCATCACACATAGCTAGGGATGAAAGACTGTGGGGAAGGGAGAGAACTTTAAGTCACCCCCCAGTGGTCACAAATTTCTGGGGCTGACCTAGACTGGCTTTGAAATTCCTAGTCATGAATGGTCTTAAAACCCTGAGTCAACCTTGGAGCCTCCCTCATCAACTAGAGTGGTATAGCCTAGCAGTGACCATGGCGAAGACACAGAAGTTGGGATGGAGGATAGGAAAAAAGCCTGTCCACCCCAAGTGGAGTCAGAAGAACAAAGGTGACAGCAGTACTGGGACCCAAAGCAACATTGGCAACTGACCTGGATTCACACTGTGGTCCTTCCTCATGACCCAGCAGACAAAGAGCCTCCTGGGATAGGGTTTGAAGCCAAAGCCCAAGGGCCAAACACAACCACTCTAGAATCACACTGCTTTGATACATCAAAGCTCAGCTCTTTGACTTGATTAAACTCTCTCTAGTTTCCTCATCTGAACGTGGGGAAGATGACAGTACCTATTTTGATGTGGAATTAAATACATCAATGTATGTAAGGAGTGATCTTCAGTGAATTAAATTCCCCCAAGGAGACCAATTAGGAGACTGTGACAGTAACCCAGAGGAGAAATCCATGTGGTTCACACCAGGGATCAGAATTCTGTATCTAATTTGAAGATCAATATGAATAGCTGACTGTGGGAAGCCATTCTCGCACGTGATTGGGCACCTCCCTGACTGGGTGTGAGGCGTTCTGGCTAAACTGTGTCAGAACTAATCCCCACCCTTCCTAGGTGTGAGAGCCCATCCATGTGGGGGTGTGACTGACCATTGACCCTGAGACCAATCACTGACCCTGACCTTGGAATGCTGTCCCCCTCGACCTTCATTGGATGGAATTTTCCCCTGAATTTCTTATTCCCCATTAAAAGGCCATTCTCTGGCATGCCCTGCCTCTCTCTCCTGCTAGTCTAGTGTAAACCTCACTGCCCCACGGGGTGGCTCGAGGCAGGAGCCAGAGGGGGAGCCGTCTCAGACCTGGTCAAAGAAAAAGGTAAATTGAGTTTATGTGTCTTTATTTTGATCTCACTAGTTAACTTCTATGATTAGAACCTCTAGTATGAAGCTAGCATGCTGGTCGCGCGGCTGAACTGGCGCCCAACGTGGGGCATTTTAGATT